TAAAGACCAAATGTGTGTAAGCTATGTTTGCATGGCACTGTTGTAGTTTCAAACTTTAATTCATCAATTCAAAACGTCAAAAGTTTTGAATAACAACCTTCTAAAGTTGTGGATTCATGTAGCACCAAATTAATGACTTCTAAAATTTTAAGATACGAACTGTGCTGGCTGTTAGTCGTAACTACAAAAAGGTAAAAGCTCAAAGTTAGGTGATTTCGCATGGGACATGCAGACCCCTTGTTGCTAGCAATTTTCTATAAGATTGCTCATCTGAAACTTCATCAGACTTAACTTTTTATGATCATTGACTACATGATAACCTAGAAATTAAAGATGGTGACCACAAGCTAAACTTAGAATGTGTAGACTGGCGTGTAAACCTAGCTTTTGACTAAATGGATTATAGTTTAAATGGATAATGGCCCAAACTGATATTCGAGAACAGCGAAGTGGAAAAATTAAAAATGAGATTAAATGATCATACGATCACAAGGAGAAAAGACAAACTGGAAGGGAGCAAAATGCCAGTATATAAGAGCAATGGTTTGGTGAAGACTACTCTAAAATTTGTATTATGAGAAATAATAAATATCATGAACATTGATTTTGTTTATCAAATCTATTCATATCTTTATGTTTAATAATTTTTTGCTTTTAATTGTATGTTGGTTGCATAGTTTCCTTTTTCATGGGTGTAGTTGTGTGCAGGGCTAAAATTAATTTTTTGTCCACGGGGGCTCTTCCCCCGAAAAAAAGAGCCCCCGTGCCTTCTCACGGGGGCTCTTTTATTACTGACGGGGGCTCTTTTTTATACAAATATCCATTTAATTGGTACCTATGATACTCCTCAATTATTTGCTATTTCATCATTATCATTTCAATCAGCATTTTCCCTCTTACAAATTTACAAGCTACATAGCTGTTACTGGCCTGTGTATATAATATATACGCATACAACACTGATCTTTATGATGTCTTTAACGTAACATATCTTCTTCTCCCCTTGCAAACGAAAAAGAAAACATGGTCATTAAAACGGATTAAGCGACAAATAATGATTGTGATTCAAATTGATGCGAATATTTGTTTGAATAAGCACTATTATTCACCCGAATCATTTTTGTAAAAACAACTTTTACAAATCTCAGCCATGCTTACTGAGTTGAGACGTTCCATTCAATTTAAAATACCCATTACATAATACACTTCTCCTAATCTCAAAGTGATCTTACAGCACAGTGGCAGAATTGCATGGCTGAGATTTGTAAAAGTCGTTTTTACAAAGAAGATTCTGGTAAAAAGTATTGCATATTCAAAAAAAATCCTTGCATCAATTTGAATCACAATGATTATTTGTCGCATGGTCCTTTTATTAAATAACCTTGTTTTCTGTTTTGTTTGCAGAGGGAGAAGAAGCTATGTCACGTTAAGAAATCATAAAGATCAGTTGTATTATGCGTATATACATATGATACCAGAACAAATGTTGATTATCAGAATGTCATTTTGGAATATCTCTATACAAATACCACATTGTCTTTAGCCCGTATTAGTATTAGTATGATCCAATATAAAGCTATTATTCTTTATTTAATTCAGTATAATGCTTTTCCTCAAAAATAGTTTTGCTATTTTTTTAGGGTTGAGACGCTAAGAAATGGTTTCAAATGTACATTACACGAACCCTGAACCATTGCAAAATGATGGTGGTTCTCTCTCTCTTTCTCTCTTTATTTTAATCTTGCATTATCAACTACATATAAAGCAGCAACCAAAAACTTAGGGTTATCTGAGATAGGTGAAAGTAAGAGTTAAAAAGAAAGTCATGCTAAAACGGCGCTTCACTTCCCCCGCCCCCTGAATAAAATAAAATAGATTAGTAGTCCTCCTCTCCAGAATCCCCCTCCCCCCGCTTTAAGATCACATTTTCACTTGGCAGCCCAAGGGGGCCGGGGGGTGGGAGGAGGGGGTTAAACCCCCTACCCCCCTTTAACCCTCTCCTCCCACCCCCCCCCCCACCCCCGCCGTAGATCTGCCCATGTTATCATAATCATTCCACGCAGGTGCGGCGATCCCCGGGGGGGGGGGACGGGGGGGGGGGGGACACGTCCCCCCCCCCTCAATTTTTTTAGGGGGGATCGTCCCCCCCTGGAAATTTGAAAAAGTGCAAAACAAATTGTATAGCATATACTGAATAATGACTGCAACACACTTTTAGGCTCTGGAAGGCCCAAGAGTGCAGCGTTTAGACTAATAAAATTGCAAAAAAAATCTCGCTCGGTCGCTACGCTCCTTCGCATAACATCCTCGTAAAAAAAAAATCGCATTTCGTCCCCCCCGGTCATTAACAGAAATCGCCGCCCCTGATTCCACGACATTTTGGTCTTCCTCTTCTCCTCAAAAGGGACTTTTAGATTTGCGTGGACGTGGACGTGTTACGTCCTTTAAAGGCACTGGCAATCACATCATGTGACGTCCTTTTAAGCACTGGGAGTGCCTTAAAAGGAGGTCACACGTTGCAGTCCACGTTCTCATCGTGCAAATCTAAAAGTCCCTAATATTGATTTACTGGTCGAGGTTCATTATTTGCTGACAACGAAAAACTTCTCCAGGCCATGACCATGTTTCTGCCCTTGCCCGATCGCCTCCAGCTCCAGCAGACATGGCGCGGCAGCGTGCACACGCACCGCTACTAAGGGCGCAGTAGGCCTATAACCACTGCTGACGGCGGCACTGCACTGCGAGCTGAATCGGTAATAATAGGCCTACTCATAAAACGAGAAATCTTGCACGCTAATCTTAGTTCCATTTCATTGGTTTAAGGTTTGAAAATTGAAACTCAATATTGTGTTAAAGTTATAACAGAAAAGATAATCTTTATTTTATAATTCCACGGGGGCGATTTTTAATTTTGCAATCGCCCCCGTGAGCAATCTGACGGGGGCGATTTTGTAGCTCACGGGGGCGAATCGCCCACCGCCCCCGTGTATTTTGAGCGCTGGTTGTGTGTGTGTGTTTGTTTCAAAATGTTTTACATGTATTTATTTCCCATTACATAAAAGTTGGAAAATGAAAAATGACTCAAACACAATTCAAAATATATACACTTGGGTGAGCAAAGCCACTTTTATGAAATTGTGAAAAATCCAAACTTGATGAGAACTGGTACCTTAATTTGGGCTGGCTTGTGTGACAGTGTCTGTAAATGTTGAGTTATGTAATGGTGAAAAGGCTTATAAATCTTCATACTATGATTATTAAAGGGATCCGGTAACTTTGTCTCAGATTCTGAAACAAAATTCAGGATTTAGCTTATGATGCAATGATAATTATAAACCTTTAGGTCAGTCAGGAACCCCGTGACTTTTACAAGCCGATCGCCTGTCTGATTATCAAGATATTTATGATTGGAATTACAAATTTTGAAAACCGTTCGCCTGACGGTTTTCATAACACTAGAGTCTATTGGGGAAAACGAGTATGGTAAAACCGGTCACTCAAAGATTTTTCCTTTTTTGAGGCACTTCTTGATCATTTTGAAGGGCAATTTTTTTAGGGCTTCAATATTACACCATATCACAGACACTGCGCACATGTAGGGCTGTGTATCTCAGATTTAACATTGTTAAACGATCCCTTTAAAAGACAATTCTTGGCTTTCTTCTCAGTAAAATCTGACATTATAGTGTATAGCATTTTATCCTTGAGTGAACAATTAAAGACTTAAGAGTTTTGAAATATTACTCTTTGGTGAGTTCTTCAGATTCAAGCTGTCAGAAAAATTAAAATCACCAAGGATGGTCTAAACTCTATAAAGAAAGATCAAGTATTTAGTCAATTAATAAAAGTAAAAACAAATGTATTATTCAGTTTAATAACCAGGAATCAATTAATCAATCACTACATCAATAGCACAGCTGAATAAAACATGGAAATAAATGGAAATGGAACAAAGTAAATGTCATGATTATACCTGTTTACTTCATTAATAATACAATGATACAGGTTCTTCCGATTGCAAAACAGTATGAGCCAGAAAAAAGTACCATTTCCTCAAAAAGTCTGGGTTTTGCATCAATAGCATGAAATAACGTTGGTGTAACTGGAAGAAACTTGTAGCTATCCACCGTTATGAAAATTTCCTGAAAACATTTCGATGATATTGGAAAGGTATATGTTTCATCAGGTTTTTGCGACGGGTCAGGTAATAGTTGGGGCGGCATAGTGTCAAATCTGAGACAAATAAATTGTGCATTTTTGAGATAAAATCACCAAATATGGCACATCATGACATGACAGGTAGATTAAAATGATCTTCGCAAAACTGGAGGTCGAGCCACCCAGAAGTCGGCCCTATAGCGGAGGCTTTTAATGATCACAAAATGCGCAATTGAATTGATGTTTTGTCGTTGTTATTGTTTTATAATATTGACATTCTTAACAGTTTCTCTGTGGTTGATTTCCTGCTCATTGTGCATTCATAAATTGAAGGGGAGTGGAACACTCAAGATTTAAGTTTTATGAAGTCAATATATAGGCCCAAGGCTTAATTGGGCGTGGCCAGTCTAGATACATCCCATGAGGAGATCGAGATGAGATCGAACCATATATAGTTTTAGTAAGTATGTATCTCTATGGATCGAACACATAATAAGATGGTGCCTTTCTCGGGTAACAACTTTATTTAGGATTATGTAACCGTCTTCACAAAAGTCGCGATCTATGTGTGAAATATTTCTTGATTTACTCATTCATTCATTCAGCGAAATAAATGTAAACCTTAACTTGCCTAGTCTATTTTCGTGCACGTGATTTATTTGTCATGATCACTTTTTAATGATGGCATACTTTAAAAGTTATTTCCTTATCGTTTCAATTAACCACCATGTACCAAAATCTATTTCAATTCTCAAACTAATTTTACATGACTATTTAGGTAGGGTTTACTTTATATTAAATGCGTATTGTTATGGGTCATAGAAAATATCGTTTAAAAACTCTTTATGCAAGGCTATCATTTCCGACCGATCGACGTCATGTCAACCATCTTGCTTTCATAACAAAGCTTTAACAATTTTGTATGTTTTATCAGAAAAGATGGCACTAGATAAAAATTACTACTTGTACAGCACGAGAAGAGATACTTTGGATTCTGAAGATGATTCTGCTCTAATTTCCAGGTATGATTTTGCCTTTGTAAAGAGTATAAAACGATTGGCATTGTTACTGTTATTCGCGTCTCTTTGCATGCAACAGTCAGCGTTGAAACCCCTGTTCCTAGCCATGGCCTTTAGGGGTCCCTTCGGCCTTCCGCCACGGCCGCTCGCCTGCTCTTTTATCCGATTCGACCAGCTCCTGAGCTCCTTAGCCAACTCCTCGGCTAGCGCGCGCTCAACGCCTCTACCGTGACATGCTTGTTCCTTGATCAGGTTGACCTCGCAAGTTACGAAACAAGTTTTACAAATGAAAAAAAAGAAACTTTTTTTTTTAATAAATTATATTTCGGGACAGATGCAGAACGAACGCTTGGTCAATTTTAGTGGTGGGATATTCTAAAGAGTAAAGTTGCTCCCAGAAAGTTAAAATAATTGCAGACAAAAGATAATTAAAGTAAGGAAGAACAAGCATGAGAGTTGAGACTCTTGACTTGTCTAATTGAGAGAACAATTTAGAAGAACTGAGAACATGACGGGAATAGGACAAGTGGGAAGAAGAAGGGGGAATATCTAGATCTAGATATCTGGACCAAAAAAAAAGAGGAAGATTCCTGAAAAATTGAAAAAGAGGAAGAAGAAATGGTATAAAAATGTCATGATGGAGATGAAATTTAAAAGGAAAAGTAGAAATATTTCTAGAGGTCTAGATTCAAATTACTACCAGTAGATCTAAATCATTGTAGACTAAATGAAATAAATGAAAACTGGGAGCCGGGAGGAAAACATTGGGTGAAACTAGGCCCTCCAAGAAATTAGATCTACATTGTATTGTAGGTCAGAAGAGAAACAAACAGAAGAACAGTCGTAGCCATACAGGAAGGTATAACTACAGGGTTCTTGTTAATTTTTCTGATAGCAGGCTATTTATGATTTACAGGAGGCTACTAAAATTGCAAAAGAAAAATCTCTGTGCGCGTAGCACACATCACCATGTGCGCGAAGCGCACATCACGAGCGCGAAGCGCGAAGTCCCTTGCGGCCGGGGTCCAGCTTTAGGGTTTTAGATGCTCTCTGGTGCTATCTTAGCCTTATTTTTGAAGATATGACCACACTGTATGAGCCATAGTTTAATGATAAAGATCATGAATATTTTGGCTGAATAACTTACTTTTCATATGATATACAATATGAAATGAAAATGCTCCATTATTGTTTCTGATAAATCAATCATATTTGTGATGAATCTACAATTTTGAATTACATGATAATGATACAAGGTAGTCCTGGGCAAAAACGGTTAACTGACGTTTACAGGACCTTGTCAGTGAAGAAAATCGTTTGCGATAAAAAAATTAAAAAATTGGAACACACATAAAAAAAATATGACAAAATTGGATTGGTAAATGGTTTGCAGGTATGTGACAGCTGTCACAGGGGTCTGGGGGTGTTACGAATACGTTATCGAATCGTGCATCGCCAAATCAATCACAGTTTCACACTCATTATTACTACCGGTATTATTTATAATTTAGCCTACATTATTATTTACATTTCAAATAAAAAACTTACCTGTACGTTGCTTCTTACTCTTAATAGTAACAGGGTTCGTACGGGTCAGGGAATTTCTGGAAAGTCAGGGAATTTAAAAATGTTTTTTCCAGAAGTAAAAAGTCAGGGAAAGTCAGGGAATTCATCCATTTCTTCTGGAAAGTCAGGGAAAATCTTTTTTTTTCAAGATGTTTGTTAAAATGGCATTTAATTTGTCTTGTGAACAAAGGAAAAAACATTTGGTAAAATTTGTGGTTCACAGGACCTTTTTCGTAACACGCAATATCTTTAGGACCTACTGGTACCGTGTCTATTGTGTCTTTCATACTGTATGCAAGATGTTTGTGCGCGTGAATGACTTGCAGTGACAGGTGCGGTGCGTGGTGCCGGTGTGTGTACATACAAGAATGCTGCATGCACGCTGTACAATTACTTTTTGATCGAGCTTGTGCTTTGATTTTGATTAAAAGTTTGAATGAAGGTGTTTTACCCTGGGGTTTTACCACAGAATATTCATGAAACAATAATTTAAATGTAAATAACTATGTATCATGAGCCACTTGTGTTTTCTTAAGAACCCCTTTAAAAATTGTGTTGCTCTTTACTTGAATATCGCAACCCTGAATCGCATTTGATATACATTTGGCGTCCATTGTGCGAGCGCGAGCATACAGCCAGTAGTTAGCTAGCCTAGCCTAGCCTCGTGGTTGCTGCTTTCCCCAACGTCCGCAATGAAGGCACACTTTTTTTCCCTCAGCAAAATATCCAAAGTCGGGGATGGGCCTTATATAGTCAGGTACAGGATATTTGAGTCCTCAAATGCTACTTTTTAGTGGTTTCAAAAATCTCTGTGTCTCAACATGAATTACATAATGCAAATAAAGAATAGGATCTACTGTACTATTTGAAGTTAAACTACGTTCCAAATTTGAAAGGAAGAGAGTTTTTTTTCCAGTTTTTTTTCTTCAGTCTCGATAAATTATGCCCTGTCACAAGGACTTTGCCGGCCGAAGCTCTCCCGTGTCTCCAGCTCACTCACCTGTATGATGCAAGCTCACTTACACATAGACCGCGGGCCATAGATCAAATATGTGGCTTATTTTTCATTTTCGTGCCTCAACTCTTGTATATACCTAAATTTTTGTTACTCAATAGAACAAAAATCATTGAATAACAATTGATAACTCGTCAGTGCAATAAGTTGCACATTAATTAATTATGCTAATTTAAAAAAAGTTACAGCGCCCTCTTGTGTTCAAATCTTGAGATCTGTGTTGTGCTAATGGGTTCCACAGGATTTTATTGGACTTGGAGGTTTTGTTTCACCCAGGGAATAACACCCAAGTCTGTCTTGGAATGGTTGGTGTTATATTTTTCTTTATTTAAAGGTTAAGTCCATCCTAACAAATATTTTAGTTTAAATAAAGTCAGAAAAATGAAAGGAAGACGACAGTGAAAGTTTTCAGCAAGTTTTGAAAGTAAGCAAGTTATCAATTTTTGAAGGTGTGATTAATGAAACACAACTCGACAACTCCACAATGTAACTTTTTTCTGCTTCTATTCAGGATGGACTTCCCCCTTTGATTAAACAACAAACAAAAACAATCTTGAAAATAAATAGAGATAAATAAAGAGAGAGATTAATAGAGAGGGGAGAGAAGTGGAAAAGAGGGGGGGGGGGGGGGGTCAGGAGATAAGGGGGACTTTGGTAGACTGTGGTACTTTTATTTATGTATTTATTCATTTTTGTTTTTATTTGTTTGGGGGGGGGGATATCAATGTGTGCACATGAGGATGCACATCTTTTAATGAGTATAATCATGGTTTCAATGCATTTTGACTAGCAGTATTCATCACTTACTACACAACTTGAACCATCCTTCGGTATCCCATCACAAATATAGCACCCCCCACACTTATACTGAAAACTTCACCCTCTCTCTCTCTCTGGCTGTATGTCTGCCCCCCCCCCTCTCTCTCTCTCTCTCTCTCTCTCTCTATATATATATATATACAGTGCATACACACACACACAAACAATCCAATAAATTAATTTACATTAAAACACAATTTGAACAGGTGTCAAGATAGATAAGCCAAAATTTCCATATTCAATCAATATTTTTAATCATCTTTTAACTACATGTATCTCAAATACATTGCAAAATCACAGGAAGTTTTGACAATGGGGGGGGGGGGGGGGGGGCAGTAGACGTAATGCATAGTATGAAGTAGATTCATTGTAAGAAAAATAAATTGTATTCATGATGAGGTACACTTTTCTGGCTCTTAAAGGAAATTTCCAGGCAGTTTTGTTTTTGTTTTTTTCATAACAATGATCAAACTCATTCCTTAATACCAAATCTATTAAACTGCCCCAACAGATTTTGAACAAGTATAAGTCTACTGTACTAGCAATACAGAGAATTAATTCATACAATGACTTTCAAATGTTCAATATCATTGTGTACTGTTAGAGGGAGAAAATCCATCATTGATTCATACAAGGCATGGAAACCAGACATAAATCAACTTCCTTGCTACTTGCCTTTGATGATTTGATGATTTAATTATATTTTTAACAATATTTTCCCTCCATTACGTTGATGACAAAAACAAGAATTGCCAGATACCCACATTTGTACAGCATAAAACATAAACTTAAACGTGAATACATTTCAATTACTAATCATGGTATTTACAAAATTGTGAACTACTTAATCTCAATCCTCCGATAGTGCACAATCAGAATATTTTTTCACAATGGAACAAAATACTTACATGTCCAGTTCAAATCTATACCTACAATGGTACAATGTATTTATTTAGCAGTGAATAGAGGCAAAAAACACATTTATCTCCCGACATCTACAAGTATTTTCTTCCCTTACATTAACATATTGAGAAACAACTTTCAGTGTCAAGTCATGATGAAAAAAAAATACATGAAGAACAAATACTTTCCAGAATGACAAAGGGAATGACCATTACTCAACATGTATCAGGAATTTTCAAAATAAAATATTGGTTCCTGTTTATAGAGCACTTGTTATGCTTTATGACACTTCTCTTTACCTGCATGTAGTAATACCTAGCAACAAAATATGTACTGCTCTGGTTAGATGGGTACCCATTTACATGTACATGTACACCTGAGTGAAACATGGTAACAATGGATTCATGTTATGTTTGTCTAAATGACTATGTACCATAAACAATTGAATGTGCAGTGCAGTCAATAAACCACTACTAGACTTGGGCATCAAAAACATTTTGCTGGAAGTATATACATTTACCTCACAAATACTGTAAATGACTATATATTCAAAGTGGTTATAAATTGTTAAGCCTCATCAATCTCTAAAGTTTTCATATAAATCACATGAACAGTAAAATACAACATCATACAAGTGTGACCTTAGTTGTCCCAAACAACTGTGTTTGAACAGAAATTGGTATATTCATATCTTTACCCTGTTTTTGCATGGAAGGATAACCATCATATAGGTATTGGCGTATTGATGTTACAATGCTACAAACTCTTGTCATCAAAATATACATGTGCATGTATATTTTACTGCAATGGAGAAGTGAGACAACAGGTTTTCTTCAAATTAGCAAATCAGGAATAATAAACCTACAGATTTCTGACAATAGGAAAATTTGAATTTCTTGTCCTTTAAAAAAATATATGTATGTATTTGTTTTAGTTTTAATTTTGATTTGGCTAATGAATGATTCAAAGTTGTGTTAATCAGCTCAGGGGTCAATAATAACTGTGACATATTGAATAGAGTATAACAAAAGAACATAAATGACACATTAATGCTTAAATCACTTTGTTTTGTGATCTTGTCATTTTTCAGAAGGCAAGTATATCCATCCTGTGTTTACACTCTTTTTATTTAAAGGAAAAAAAACATATGAAAGTAAGCAAAGAATAAAGAGAAATCATCACGGGTGTCATGACAGATTTAATGATTATTTTGCAAGTAATACACATTTTCCTTTTTCATTTTGTAAGCATTTTGCCTTTCATCAACTACAAACACACAGAGTGTAATCATCCAGGATACAAACTTAAATCTAACATGGGTGTAGTTCAAGAATCATTTTGAAATTCTAGCTTTTTCTTCTTTATTCAATGTGAAATACAAATTGCATTGCTAGGGGAATGCTTATTCTCCATCTGAATCTTCTTCATCTGATTCAACCTCCTTTGCAGAGATAGAGTTCCTGCAATTGACACATCTACACAACTCTGTACATGGAATGCCATGCTGTTGACATGAGCAACGTGACCGTCCTTTCCCTGACGCTGATTTTTCACAGCTCGTTTTCTTACATGAGCAGTTTGTAAGTTCCAGCAAGCTGCTTGGAGCTGGGGGTAAATCACCCCAGTCAATATTAATTTCACTGTCCACAAGTTTCCACCCATGACCATTTGGACTGGGACATTCTGGGAACTGTTGCAGACATTTTGAATGAATAGCAGCTTGGTAATTTGCCCTCATTAAGTGCTTCTTAAGAGAATCAGCTGAAGGAGGAAGATGTGTCTCTGCTTTGGTTAACATGAATAGCTTATATCTAGCTTCATTCACTGTATCACAGGTTTGCCCATACAACTTGCACACAAGTTTTTCTGCATTTTTCATCAACTGATCACTGACAACAAATGAACTTCCCATCTCATGAAATGTGGCATGAGTTTCAGTGTCATTTACAAGTAACTTGAAAGCTTTGGATTTTGACTTTCCATGAAATGAGCTAACTGTATCACAACCTGTGAAACAATGGAAGGGTATCAGTGCTCTACAAACATCTGGTCCTAGGTACCGACTAATCTTTGACAGGTTCAGGGTCCTTCTATTATTGCCTCTTCCTGTGTGGAAAAGCACTTCTGCCTCAATATCTGCTGCCATTGCGACTCCAATAACAAACACATCAGTGTCAGGACTCTTGATAAGGACAGGGTGCGGAGCTGCATCTGAACATGGTGGCTGGTGTGTAGCTGCATATTTACAATGAAGAAAAAGCCTTGTATCGGCTTCTTCATGGTTACAAGCTAGTTCTGGTACTATGCGGGTATGTATCTGCTCATTCTCAGCTGTCAATTCATGGCACTCTGAATCATGAGTGGCAAACACAGTAACATTCTTCAGAATTGCACCTGGCTGTTTGCTCCATGTCTGAAACAGAAATCTGATCAGCTCTGCTTTATTGTCGCCACATCCAAGAAATTTCTTCCACTGATGTGGTACCTGCTGTTCTTCACTGTAGATTTTGGTGATAACACTTCCACCAATTGACCGCCTTCCCCTTTCTGCATTCTTGATACTTTCTTTCCTGTAGGTATCAACTACAAAGTGTATCACATTACTGCGCACACTGACAGCCAAATCAATTATCTGTCGCAGGAGGAATTCACTGAGCTTCCCAAATGTTGGTGGAATATTCTTGGGGGACATTTCTTGTACCATCGCCATACCATCTACAATCCAAATGCTTCCTGGTAGAATATCAGCCTGTGGAGATGGTTGCACATGGGCTTCAATGCAATGAAGCAAAGTCGATTTGGCTGTCTTGGCTAGTGATCCATCTGGATGTGCAATTGAAAGAGGAAGGGGGCCCAAATTGTATGTCAGCATGTGGCGAATATCAAGCTTCCGAACATTTGCAATAATAACAAGCCTCTGAAAAAGATTTCTGTCTGCTTTCAATACCACTTCCTTACCTTTCACTTTAGATCGAGAGGTCTTATTCATAGACTGGAAGGTCTTAACTTTTACTAATTTAAGTGTCTTGAACATATCTTCATCGCCTTGAAGACATTCCTTGCTATATTGCATGAAGCATGTGTCTCCCCTGTCTCTTGCACTGAGATAATCGTCATTAACATCCTTTGATGCCACACAGCCAGATGCTATATGAAGCAACTGATCACTGGTGTCTTCAAACGGATTTATCATTGCTTCAATCACTGCTTTCACATTGCAGACACTCTCTTCGTCTTTCTTAATGCGAGAATGTTCCAAATCCTTGCGGCCACTTGTCCTCTCATCTTTACCAGCCATTTCTTCGCACCTCTTTGTAATTGCTGCTCTTTCTGGCTGGGACAAAATCCACCTTGTCACTGCACCTTTCTGGGTAGTGAAGCCCACCATGCCTCCTTTTGTTTTGGTGTCACGATTACAAGTCTGTTCAATGGTTTGGTCACAAGCCACCTGTGAAAATCCATGATCAGCTTGCCTCTGAACTGCAAAGTGGCCCTTCATGAATTCTTCATGGACTGCTGGATGGGTTGAGGAGAGTTGACACATTTCAAGCCAGTAGGCTGGTAGGTAACGAGCATAATTGATATGATTGTAAGCAAAAAGCCAAGGCAGAAATGACCTCACTGCAGATAGATGCAAGTTCCAATTTCCCTCTCTGGTAGCTCGGAGAAAAAGAAGCATCACTTCTACCATTTCTATGTAAGATGACCAAACACAGAAAGTAGGATACTTCTTCCCTTGATGAGTCACAAAACTGTCATACAATGAAGAAATGTTGTCAAACTCATTGGATGTTACAAGTTCCATGTATGCCTCTCCAGGAAAAGCTCGACCCAGTTGATTTATTACTTTTTGAGCTTGCAGTCTTTCAACTTCTGGTAAAGAGTCAAGAAAACTTTGCCACCTCAGCCGCTCCATGGCCTCTGCTACACAGTTATGTACACGGATACTTCTGTTATAATGGTGGCCGTTCATTGTCCCATTCAAAGAGCCCAAGGCAACGATTCCTGATTCTACAACCACATTCTCCAGTCCTGCATCCCTGAAGCGTTTACCAATGCAGGATAACATGGCCAGGGAAGTGTGAAATGCACCAAGGCGAATTACCATTCGCTGAGAAAATCTCTCATTATTCCACCTAATTTGCTGCGCTTTGGCATATATTGCTTGGTCGAACACTACAGCCACTTGATCTTGCTTCAGGGTATCTGCAATTTGTAAAGATCTTTCAAGAATTGTATAAACTGTATCATATTCAGTCGGACTAGCATCAATGATTGGAAGATACCTGATGTTGCATACTTCTGGAATATGGCTTTGTAGTATAGAGTTGCAGCCTGTCCATCCAGGGAAAATCATTTCTGATGAATCTCCCAATTTCATGACCCGGAGAGCTAGATCTAGCTTTCTTGACAGTATTTGAAATGGTTGATAAGGTTTGTCTTGCAGATCAACACATTCTCCGTAAGCCCTCGGTCCAATTCTCTTGCTTCCAAAATACTTCTTGATGTTTGGCGACGGGGGCTGCACAGAGCGGCGTCTGTCTCTGGATGAATGTTCAACATGTGAAGCTTCTGAGGTTGGTTCTGATGTTGCAGATGGATCGTACTGTATCAGGATACCATTTGTATTATGTGTGGTTCCTTTCCCACTAGTCGTTTCTTCGCCAAAATCGTTATTATCCCACACCAGGGTGGTGAAAGTGATGTTTGATCCAGCTGGAAGTGCACCGATGCCTCGTTCAATCTGCCTCTTTGCCAATGCAGTATCATGTTCTAACGCAAAGGAATTAGAAGAGCAATGGCCAAATCCATTCAGCAGCCCAATTAGCTTCGCAGAACCAGTTAAGTGACGAACTGCCATTGAGAGGGATGAATGCTTGGGAAGAAGGATCCTTCCTTTTGCTCTCAAGAACATAATATCCTGGGCAACTGAAAGAAGGCGGGGATGGAGCTCATCAGGCACTTCAACCTTTCCGGAGTCTCTTGGGTCAGAACTTGCCCCAGTTGACCATGCAAGAAAATTAAAGAGTGCAGAAGGCACAATTTTGTCGACTGTGTCCAGGGTTGAGTCATCAGCTGTGGGGGGCCACTCTATTGGGTTAGGTGCATTGACGATGCTGTCTTTAACAACCTGGGCAGCATGGAACATATCCCTCAGGTGATAAGCTCTGGATGGAACTGCATGTGAAGGGTCATCACTCACAGCTTCATTGCACTCGCTTTCTTCACTTGTCATTTCTCCAACTGCATCCTCTACTACCTCCTCAACAGACAGATTTTCAACAAATACAATGTCGCTCTCCACCTTCCTAGAAGGCCTGACAAAACAAAGAGCAGGGTGTGAGGATTTCAATCGTGCTTTCAATCGGTAGGTTTTGAAGGAGGAGGCATCTAATCCTTCAACTCCCCTGACTTCCTTGATGAAGAGTTGGTTCAGCTTAGTCAGCCTAAGGATCTCCTTATTTTTCATTATCCTTTCCTCAATTACCTTTTTGCAGAAACTAGAGTATGACTTATCATATATTACTGTTTGCTGAGTATCCTGTTTATAAGTATTACATCTCTTCACAACTTTTGTATACCTGTAATAGCACGATTTATGGTACCTTACTTCTATTGCAACAAGATCTTTCCCACGTATGTGTAAAAGCAATTGTTCATCTTGCTTTAATAAAGCGGCCTCTAACAGATGCCCCCCATCTTTTCTTTCACAAAGAATTAATTTTTCTACCTTCCGTTTACCAGAAGACTGTTCGCGGATATACTTAGCTCCTTTGCAGATAATGCAATGGACTGGCAATACATGCGGCTTATCAAAGTCATGGCTGGTAGAGGGTTGATTTTCATGGGATACTCTCGACCGCAGCAGTCTCTTGGGTGCAGGGGCATCCTCACTTGCTGACACTTCCTCTGGATCTTCTGTAGATGTCTTCTCAGCATCTGTGGGTTTAACAAGAAAAAGAGAAGGAAGAAAGGAACAGACAGGAGAAAAAATACTGATTAAAACCAATTTTATCAAAATCATTCTGATTTTCTGAATATATAACTCAATGTGGTGTTGGTGTTGAAAGTGTGGATCAAGCTGCTGAACCAAGCTCCAACACTGACTGTACTTGAGAAATAGCTCAATACTGAGTGATGTCACGCCTTTTATGTGATCCACTCACGATTTCAAGCGAAAAGGCTATACAACGAAAGTGAAATCAGTGAGAAATGGCATTCAAATTTCATCAAACAGGATGTAAAATCTAAAATCGTATTTTCAAATCAAAAGAGAAAATGTTATTAATCTTTAGAAAATAGACACATATATAGCTCTGATGATTTGTAAAACATTTTGACTGTAAATTGGATTTCGCTTAACTTTGCTGTGACGTTATCATTTGGTTCATGATCTTAAGATCACCAACACCAACACCGAACTTCAAATCACAAATTTCCCAATCTCTAGGCGATTTGTGTTGGGGAATAGGGAAATAACAAATAAATCGTCAAAGCGAACCATGATACTCGGTTCAGCAGACAACATTCAACAACATATTTTCCGAGGTCAATTCCAACACCAGCCGCATTTCAAGTTCAGTGTTGTGGCTTTTGACACTGAACTTGAAATCGCCAGTAGATCTAAATGTGTAGATGCAGAACAATTATTGCACAATTGCACCTACCGGTGTCTTCTTTTGCACTGCCTCACACACGCACAGATCAAACACTCTCCTTCTCTTCTTTGTCTTTGTACTGTACTGTTTAAATTATTTTAGCAGCATTTAATCATTGTTTATTACCTCTCTTCTTCTGAAGTCTTGTCAATGCTCTACTGATTGTCGTTACGTTGCAAAAGTGTCGGTAACATTCAGCATGATATCCTCGAAGCCGAGTATGGTGCTCCCTAGTAAAAGAAAATGTGAGAGATGTAGACTAATAAATAATTTCTATTAAAGTTCAATCTGCTAAAATACAAGAACTGCTGGACCTAGTTTAAGTAGTTAGGCCTATGTAAATGGCTTAATTTCTTGACACAAGCAAGAGTCAAGAATTAGACTATTTTATAATTTATCTGTAGACGAAAACAAGTACAGGGTCTAGACAGTAGTAGCAGGGACAGGGTCTAGTAGTAGTAGATCTAGACCTAGAAAATCTATCCTGTAATCCAGGACCATAGTAGATGAGAGGTCTAGATCTAGTCTGTTCTCTACTACTCTAGACCAAATTTGTAATTTCTGCTCTTTTTTCAAGTGCAATTTTTATTTCGGGGAAAATGTGAACACTTTTCATTTCATGCAGGCCTAGATATCTAGATCTATACCAATATATTAGGTGATAACTTACCTGCTTGTTGTCGATGACTGAAGACCGACTTGTCCCACACCTTCACTTTCGTGTACGTGTTCTTGCAACTTCTCTGCAACTTCACTTTCTAAACTCTCTTCCACGATTACCCACTTAGCTGCACACTCCTTACACTTTTGATAGCTTTTATCACTAAATGGTATAATCTTGCTCTGAGTATCGATGACATGTATGGAACAGAAAGCGGATTCACCAGCCTCAGAATTGTCCGTCTCACTGGCATCAAACGACTCAGAAGTCGCCATAGTACACAGTGAAAGTCGCAGTGCACAGTAAAAGTCGCATAGGCGTGCGCATAAAACAAAGAATATGATTGGCCAAAAGCCAGTCACTCCACACATCATGCTATCAGCAACGTATTGTGATTGGTCATTCTTACCGTAGAAAGTGAAAAATTGTCTCAAATTTGTTTTTTGTTTTTTGATATTTTCAGAAAATGTGCAAGTTTTGTTACTGACGAGTTTCAGATGTGACTGTAATAAATATTTTTAAACATGTTGACCAAAATACAGCTAGATACAAATTTGAGGCACGAGATGAAAAGAAAATGCACCTCGGCCCGCGGTCTAACAGGGGATAACGAATCACCACGTGAAAACTAGCCTGTCCACATTTCTGTTTGGACTCGGAGGAAAATTCTGTCATCTTTAGTTTTAAAAACAACATTGTTAAATGGGTCTAACTTAGTTCACAAGCACTTCAACTGTGCCTCGTAATAAAATGAAAGTATTTTCGAACGCTGTCACTAAAATAAGAGCCGATCTGATGTTAACAAAATGACCAATGTTGGCTTTTTTTTGGTGGCTTTTTGTTAACCAGATCAGATCACGTCTTATTTCAGTGTTCGAAAAATACTTTTACTTTTCATTATACAAGGCACAGTTGAAGTGCTTGTGAACTAAGTTAGACCTAGGTCTAGTAACAATGTTGTTGTTTTTTTCCAGATTTTTTTTCAGATTTTTGTTTAGATTTTTTTTTTTTTTATCTTCGAAATAGGGGTGCGCCTTACAGTTTTGTAATTTGCTTCCTAGTATTGCGATGATGTATAGTTGTACGCTTTAGATTAAGACATGTTCATCATTGAAAATGGTCATGGAAATTTACATTATCCTGCTCTGGAAAGTCATGGAAAGTCATGGAATTTTTAAAATGTGTAAGTGTACGAACCCTGTAGTAAGGAAGGAAGACATCGATGTCTGCCGTTTCGATTCCATTTTAATTCGACTGGCGTGCGATCTCGGAGATAAATTCACTCAGCTAGCTCAGCTCGGCTCACAACGCGCGCTTTTCTTGCGTAAGCTAGCTTGCCGGCCTGCGCTTGGCTCTGGCGCACTGGGCATATACTAGATAGCTCTGCCCCCGCGTGCGCCGCGCCGCAAGTCCATATTTTAATAGGGTTTTATTTTACGATCGTTTCGGAGACGTTTCATCTCATTTCTTTACGACCGTTTTCACAACCCCGCGCTATGAAAGCGTGTCTTCGTGAAGCTTGTGATAACAGAAATTTGAGATAGCGACTTGACCGAATATGATGTGATTTTTGTATTATTATTATTTTCTTTTGGAGAGGCTTACAGCCGGCTACGATTGCCGTTACAGCCGGAAAAAATAGCCGGTTGCCGGCTATTAACAAGAACCCTGAACTAGAAGGAGGGAAAAATTTCAAAGAAACTGATCTTCCAAGGTGATAAGAGTAAACCCATTATTTTAGCCTAATTTAGGATTTTAGATGGTTTAGTTACTTTATATTATAGAGTTTATCAAGACTTGCTTACATGTGAATGTTTTTTTCTCCTTGCTGTCCACATCAGAGCCAGAGATGTAATAAGCAGAGCATCAGGTCAAAATATGCCCGCGATACCAGGGACGCTTGAACATCAGCGACTCCTTACAGCAGCAGGGAATTGGGGAGTGGAGAATGCAGTGTATGCATCAGCAGCGGCAGCTGAAGCTAGTATGGTTCAACGACTAGATGCTGCAATTTACAATGAAGGTACTGTGTACATGATCAGGACTGCCTTAACTTTTCTTTTTTCTCTTCTTTTCTTCAAATTACAACTCACATGATTAAAAGGGCTGATAAGAAAAGTAACTATTTAATCTTTAATTTGGCAAACCGTGATAATCTTCTTTCATTGTTCTTCCTTCTCCCCCCTTCCCCCCCCCCCCCCTCTCAAAAAATGTCCAGTAAAATTTCAGTGTAGATGAATTAAAAATGTACATGTAATACACTATGGCAGCACCCAAGCATCATATATATTAATTCCATTCCTGATAGCAATGGTAACAAATGTTCCAACTTTCTTATATCCATTTTATGTATTTCTAATTTTGAGTTATGACACAATTACTGATTATTTTTCTTATTTTCTGTTTTAAATGTGTAGTTCCAGGCGACTATAGTGAAGAGAAGAAAGGTCGAAGAAAGGACAGACGGAGGGACAGAAGGAGAGACCGTGATGAGGTATTGGCAGAATCTTATTCTCTCTTTTGTTTTGAATTGAAGTAAACATCAATATAAACAAATATATTTTGTGATATATTTTTAAGGTAAAGAATCTCAATGGAGAAGAGTCACATAGTCAACATTTTGAAAACATCCGGAAGCTTTAATGAAACAGAAATTATCATGGTGGGGGTATATTTTTCAGTCTTTGATGATTTCAATATTACAATGTTTTAAATGTGACATTTCTATGGTTTCAAATGCATGTATTTCATTATTTACAGCGAAAACAGCTATCAGACAGGCCATGTAGGACTATCCTTATCAAGCATCTCCCTGCTGAAGTTGATGAAACATATGTAAGTATCTTGAATATGAGCGCCATATTCCTGAAAGTTTCCATGAGATTGGTTTCCAATTCGCTAAACTCCTTTTATATGGATACTCTTATAAATACTTTTGAAATATACTAGCCAATTGATTCATTTGTTTGTCATTCATAAATTATTTAAGTAAAATATTGTTTATTTAATAATCATTATTTTATATGTTTGACAGTCCTCTACCGTTTTTTGCTGAAAAGAATTATTTTTCAGTTGTTTGTAAATTTTGTTTTCCCATTTTACATACAGAAGTTCACAGGATTGTTTTATGTTCACCAAAATTTCATATCCTCATCAAAACATGCATGTAAAAAGGTCCCTTGTATTTCAGATTCATCAAAAGAGTAAAAGTACATGCATGTTGTCCAATTAATTATGTTTTAGTGACTCTGAATGGAAGATACTACCTAGTACTGGAAGGTATTTATGGGATAAACATTTTGAACTGGTATTTGACCGTTTCTTTTCCTTTTGAATTGTTCAGCTGCGAGGGATACTTCAGCTGTTTGGTGCCCACATCCAGGACGTCAGACTGGTCAAACACAAAGATTCAGGTGAGACACAGAAGCCCCACACCATTTCATAAAAAATGGTTGGCCAGACTTCATGGAGTAATAGGTTTGAAAGCTGGACAGTGCACTGGTCAAGGGCTGTAACATAGGCACGTTCTGATTATGGCAGATGCACTGCATGCAATGCCAAATGAGAGAGGAACAATGTTTTTTTTAAACTTCTGAAACAAAACACTGATGAAGGAATCGTTGTGTACACATTTTTCATCTTTTGCTCACCTGGGCATTTATGTTATGTGTATTAACCAGCTTTATCTTCACAGGGTTCAAAGATGAGCACAGGTAAGTTTATGATTAAGGCCTTCGCTAGGTCAATGTTGGATATGAACTTAGATTAAAAGTGTATTCAAATTAGAATAAGATATAGTATGACACATTCAGCTTTTGGGTGCCACCATTGTTACTCTGTGGTGGTATCTGTATGTGTGCTCCAGATATAGTGTCATTGTCATTTCATCAAAATAGTCAACTAGCAAGGTTGAAAATTAAGAATAGAATATCATTTGTGTTATTGCAAGGTTATTTACTTTGCTAATTTTGACATTCAGAGTTTAATGAACACCACTTCTCTGTATTTAGTAGTATTAATTTGATTGAATAGGTGGAAATTAAAGTTACGTTGGAATATGTGTTTGCATTAATAGCCATTCTTCCTTGCAGTAAATTTTG